AGTGAGATAGTATCTTATCCTTTTCTTGATGCTGAAGAACTTCAGATGTAGGCAGGTATTTTTAGACTTTCCATGTACAAGCAGGGTGTGGGAATGGGAATTTTTGCCTGCATCCCCAATGCTACTGAAAGCAAATATAATTAAAGCTTGTGTATTTATAGTCCTTCTAGAACTCTTCTAGTGTGATGGTGACCACCTTGGTTACCCTTTGTGAGCTTTGTGCTGAAAGTGGTTTTTTTTTTTTTTCCATGACATAAAAAAAAAAAGCCTGTCAAATTGAGTGTCTGCTTCTTTGCTATTAAAATAATTGCTTTAATAGCAAATAATTATTTTAACAGCAGAACAGCAGCCTTTCTTAACTTGGGGGAATTATCTAATTTAATGAGGAAGAACAGAAAATACCCATCTAACAAAATGTTGTAAAAAATGCCATGGAAGTGATCTCTAAACAATTAACCTAAGAGTTATGTTCAGAGTAAAAAGTAGAGCATGCCACAAAGTGCTTTTTAATATATTTCACTGATAGAGTACATTATGTAAATAAGTAAAAATATCTTGCTTGTTGTGCCTAGAGTACAAAAAGGGGGTTTGTTATTAGAGTAGCTGTCTGGTTTGCCCTTCAGATGTTTTTTCACTACACTAACAGAATGGAGGAATAGTTTTCCAGACTTTATTTTTGATGTACATTAGAGAAATGTGAAGATTGAGAATTACAAGTATGAAATTATGGGGAGGAAATAACTGTATCTGCTGCAAAATCTGAAGTTTAGTTCAGCATTTTCACAACCAAGTGCTTACCCATTAAAGGCTTTGAAAAAGGGTATTGTTAATTATAACTTAAGTGTATAACACTCACAGAACTTAAATGGACAGTATTTTTAGTATCTGCTCATACTTAAATACTTTTCCTCACTTTCACTAATTTTAGGTGGCCTCGGAGTGTGCACGTTGCTCTTTTCATGCTCTTTGTGCTTCACAAATTGCCTAAGCTTCTGCAAGTGCAGTATATTCAGGATAAATAAAAAAAAAAAATCTGTGTGATACCATTTAGGGGAAGGAATATGCTTTCAATCGCCTGCAGTTTGCTATAATTAGTGGTAGTTGGAAGTTGGTGCTTGATATGAAGCTGTAGAACCATCAGTGTTATTCTCTTCCACTTGGCTAATGCTGATTAACCCTCTTATGTTTCTAGCTCAGCAAAAATAGTATGTGGCTGTGTTTTAATTGTTTTGTCTGTGCACTTCTATCAGACTGTGCAGCTGTAGGACTAGTGTTTACATTTCCATGCCAGCAACAAGAAAAGCAGATTTTCTCATACTACCTGAACTGGGGTTAATAATGGTTCAAAACTGCAAAAACTGTTGTGGAAATACATGTGCAGTACTATGCTTATATTCTGGCAGGCGAGTCCCACAGGAAGAGGAGCTACTTGGGTTTAGGAGCAGCTGCAAGATCCCTGCTTTTCGGTTGCTGCCGCAGTTGTTATGCTCTTGACTTACTGTTAATAGAGCTTTAATGCTATGTGGCACTGGTTTGGAATTCCTTCCTGCAACTCCTTGAAGTTCTTCCTCAGTATTTTTCCAATGATACATCTTCTAGTGTACATCCTTATTTTCTTTTTACTTCTACATGTTTAAAGCTTTCCAAGTCTAAGCCAAGTGCAGGGCTGTGTAAGAGAACAGTAAGGAGAAGTGTTAACAGCAGTTCTAGGCAACTCTTCAAATCAAAAGGGCTGGTGTGTCACGAGGTGAAATTTGACATGAGACTTAGTTTTGAACACCAGCTTTTCACTTGTACAGCTAAGTAAATGAGTATGTATAGCTCTTGCTGTGATTCAAAGTGTGTTGGAACATACTTGTTTCCAGCTGTCCTGTGCCCAAGATCAAATATGCAATGAACCTGCATTATCCACGAAATCTCTTGTTTGTAGAACAAGGCATAAGGAATATGCCATCTGTTTAGCTTTTGAGGGAACTAACCTTGATGAGCTTTAGAAGTTTAAAGATGAAAAATATTAGGCATGTCTAGCTAGTGATTTGTTTGCTAAGACTATCCTCTACAGGTGTGCCCTTTTTCATTGACTGCAGGTGGTGTCAAGATCACTAAGCTAAGCTTGATGGCTGCCTTAGCTAACTGAAAATGAAGTGAGGTGAATCCTGCACTGATTGGTGAGACAAGATAAGGTAGTTGATGTGAAGATCGCATTTCTTTTCCTGATGCAGTTTTTGTAGTCTATTTTGAGGACTACCCCATTTGTAATTCAGGTAGAGTAGGTTAATGTGAGGAAACAGGTTATTGTCTAAATCGATAAGCTAACTTCATTACAGAGAAATGAGGAGACCTAGAATTGCTAATCAAGGAACAGTGATACAGGATGGGAATAGTTCTACAGCTGTCTTGAAAGACTCTGAAGTAGTAAAAGACTTCAGCAAAGCTTTGAGGATGTTGCTGACTTTAACTTGGAAAGACTTTGGAAGGCATAGTTAAGATCTGTAATTGTAGATGGCTTTATCTGAGCTGTCCTCTGATCAAAAGTAAAGGTAGGCTGGAAGTTCTTTGTTAATCTTAGCCACAGTTCCTGTGGCAAGGAGCTGTTGCGATAGCTGTACGATAGCTGGAGGCTTCTTCCCGACTGATCTTGCAGCTCTTTAGATCAGGGTTAAAATAAGCAAGTGACTGTGCTGTTGACTTGACAACTCTGGTGACCAACAGGACCTCAAACTGTAGGAGTAAGTGGTAGTACTTTAAATACGTTTATGAAGTATGGACAGGTTTCCAGTTTGTTTTACTGCAGTAATTTGAATCGTGCCATTGCGATCTTAACGTGAGCTAGCACATCTGAACAGTTAAGTGTTAAGCTATGCGGTTTCTTAGTAACTATTGACCACTGCTCAAAACAGAAAACAACTTTCAAGTTTTCTATCTGGTCTGAAATTGCCTGGGAAAAAAACCTTATTCCTGTACTTATGATACACCTTGAAATACAAAGTAGTCACTTTGCCTGGGAGGAAAGAACACCTGCTCGATTAATGTGAAAGACCTGTGTGTGCTGTGGAACTTTTACCTGCCCCTCCCAATACTGTATGCTAACCCCCTGAATAGACAGATGCATTAAATTCAAGCAAGCTAACACCCTTTCCCCCTGCCCTCTATCATACAAGTGTATATTCCACCCTCCAGGTCTGTTAATTTGAGTAAATTAAAAGTAAATGCATATTTTGGGCTATGAATTTTAATATGTGAAATTAAGATGGAATACTGCTGGACTGTAACAATTTTTATGTGAGTTGAAATCAGCTGTAAAACTATTCACTTTTATTTTACCTCACCGTGTGTTAATGACACCAGTGATGCAGTGCCTTGTATTATTGGTGCCTTGTATTTCTTCCCCATACAGGTGGACCTCACGGTGCAAGAAAAGGAGAAATACCTTAATGTGTCTCGTTGGTTCAACCACATTCAACATTACCCAGGTGTCCGACAACATCTGTCTAATGTCATCTTTATCAAGAACAGATTATACACTAATGCTCATTAAAGAAAATCTTAATGTCATGTTGGAAGGGTGTTTGGGAGTTTAGAAGTTAAACTGTCCAAAACCACTAACTTGCAAATACTGGTTTGTAACCTTCTGTATGTGAACCAAAACTATTGATGCCTCAAATAATACAATTGCATTGAATTGCTACTGTTTGTTCAAGAATTTGAACTAGTTAAAGAATCGTATCATGTACCTGATTAAATGCAACAATGGTAGAAAGATGGAAATTGAGTTTTAATTCACTATTTTTTAAAAATGAAAAGTTCTTTCAATTAAACATTCAAGTGTAATTACATGGTCTTTGTAGGAAAGAACTACTTATTTTCCTTCAATTATTTACTCCTTTTGCTATTTATTGAATTTTTACATACATCCCGCTTTCTTTTCATTTTATTTTCCATGGATGTTTACACTAGTTTTGTAAAAGTTAAGAGCTATATTGTGTGCCAAGGATGTGAAAAAGGGAACATGCAAATGTTACAAAGTATTTATGTGACCGAATAAATTATTTTAAAACTGTAGTCTTAATTTGGCTGTGAAACTTTTTGATTTTTCTTTGGTAAAGAAAATGAAGATTTTAAAAGGTTAGTTCACTTGCTACTTCATTTTGTGGTGTACAGACTTTTATATTGATTCTAGAAGCATTTTCTTGCAAACTGAGTAACAAAGCTAGTATTTTTCAAGATTTTACATATGTTGTAGTTTAACCCGGCTGGCAACTCAGCACCATGCAGCTGCTTGCTCACTCCCCCCTCCCTCAGTGGGATGGGGGGACAGAATTGGGAAGAAAGAAAGCGGGGGGGGGGAAGTAAGAGATGTGGGCTGACATAGAGACAGTTTAATAAGAGAAAAGATTAATAGTAGTAGTAATGAGAATAGTAAGAGAATATACAGAATATACAAAATGAATGATGTACAACGCAATTGCTCACCACCTGCTGACCGATGCCCAGCCTGTCCCGAGCAGTGATCACTCTTCCCCCTTGCCAGCCAACTAACTCCCTCTGAGCATGACATTATATGGTATGGAATAGCTTGGGTTAGCTGTCCTTGCTGTGCTCCCTCCCAGCTTGTTATGCACCTGGCCGAGCAGGAGAAGCTCAAAAGGTCCTTGAGCAGTCTAAGCACTACTTAGCAACAACTAAAAACATCAGTGTGTTATCAACATTCTTGTAGTACTAAATCCAAAACACAGCACTATGCTAGCTACTATGAAGAAAATTAACTCTATCCCAGCTGAAACCAGGACAGCAGATGTCTCGCTTCATGTGGTATTTCCACACAAGTGCAAATGCAAGTTTTGAGATCCTGAAGAAACCAAACACAAAAAAAAAAAAAAACCCAAACCAACACCCTTAGCTTAAGATAATAATGAGCTAGTTTGTCATGTTCACCCTCAGTGTTTTGAAACTGAAAACACTATTGGTGAATCAGACATTTGGATGTGTCATTTCACTGCAAAATGTGGTGTCTCCATTTTTAATAAACTTAAAAGTGCTAACATGCCCTATGGGTATCATCTGAATTTGATAATTACCTTCTGCACAATTCTGTTAACATTTCTTTTAAAACATGGAAGCACATACAAAAATATTTTGAAATGTTAATTGATAAACCTCTATGTTGGTTTCTGCAACAGTGTTCAGCAATCGACTCAGTTGTACATTCCTTTGTCTGTGTGCTGCTTTAGGAGCCTCCCACCCAGTAAGGCAGACATAAAGATATCTTGGGTAGATGTTTGAGCAGTTTGAATGTTATGAGGCCTTAAGAAAAAAGTAGGTAGATAATGCAATGAGGTAATTAAAATATATCCTAACGCATTCGTATGGATAATTCCAGGCTCTCTAATAGGTGTTTTCTGTGTATGTGTATATACATATTTTCTTCTGTATATACATAATTTCTTCAGAGGTTTTACAGGTACAAGGTATTACTTTTAGGAATGTCTTATATTGCTAAAAATGAAAATACTCCTATTTGGTTTTTTAAAAGTTCTCGTTTCCCAGGGGGCTTAATTCTGAGCTTCTACCATTTTTCCTGGTAGTTACTCTCGTTCCTTGCTATTTAGAAGCAGGCCTTGTGTACTTAGTTATGAAGATCTCACTGAATTCTGTTCAAGAATTGAGGAGCGGGCTTTAGTGCAAATGTACATTAGAAACTTCATGCTCCAAACTTTTCATATTTAATGTCTGAGGACTTCAGGGTTTTGCTGTCAGTGCTTGCACTCTTCATTCCTAATTTATTCAAACATTTGATGCCCAGTGGTATGTATATAAGTGAGTTTGCTTTCCCCCCCCACTTATGGCTGGGAGCAAGTGATAATGAGACTTAGAAAAATACCTACACTTCTACTACATTCTGCTATAAGGAACCATTTTTTGTTTCTGAAGGGGAGCATGAGCGGGAGTCATCAGTGCATTTGGTCAGGGTTTGGGGAAGTTTCACATTCATCTTACAGATTGATTGTTTTTATGCATGCGATTGCAAATGAGAATGATTAAGTTTTGTGAAGTGTACATGCAAGCCTTCATCCATGGACACAGCAGCTTACGTTACAGCTAAGAACACTGTAACGGAGTCATTGCTGAAAATAATACTGTTGTCTTTTCTGACAAGTTTTGTACAGGTGGTGCTACAAAGTGTCTTTTTTTTTTAATCCCAAACAGCTGCTGTTTCCAAGTGCTGGGATTTCTCAAGGTGGTTACATGCTGCTGCTGCAGTATCCCCTAGCCTCTTGTGCCAGTTTTATTTTCTCTGGTGTAGAACAGAAGTGCTACTTGCTGCTGAAATGTTTAAAAAAAAAAAAAAAAAGTTCATCTAACAGAAAGATGAAATGTTTATAAGTGGATTAGTAAAATTTAACTCTATACTACCTAAAAGGCATTTGGTCATTATCATATGCGAACTTGAGCATTTCAGTGAGAGAAACGTAAGGGGGTAGAGGGTTAAAAGCAAAGCAGGATGAACTGAGGCTTTGCTTTTGGAGAGATGAGTGGGAAAACCAGATGTTACTGATTTCCTCCCCTCTTCCCCTTTTTGCCTCATCACCATCAAGGACAACTAAATCTGTAAAAGAAGCTCCTGAAAAATCATAAAGATGTATCTTGGTCTATCTGAGATTGTACGAGGTACATTTTTTACAGTGATGCTCCATATTATTTGCAGATGAGGTGCAGTGCGCGTGAGCTCTCGAATGAACATTGATGGTCTGTATAAAGAGTGCGCGTGGGCAAACGGTCTGCTGTTTTTGGAGCTACCACCGCTTGTCTTGCTGTTTCTGTACTATTTTATTGCACTTTCACTGAACATTAGTAAGAGTGACTTTCCTCCCTTGCAACCCCCTTCTCCTTTCTTAAAACTTCAGTTGCTGAAGGGCACAGTAAACACTGTGATGTTGTTTTACTCTTGTTGCTTCGCAGTTTGATGATGATGATGACCACAGTGATGGGTGGAATTTATTTTCACAGCATTTCATGAACAGTGACACCCTCATTTGTTAATGTATCTCATCATTGCAGAATTATTATTTTGCATAATTGTTCTATCCAATTTATTCAAGGGGCCTGACATGTTATGGTCTTTTAAGTACGTGCCTCTAGGACTTGAGGTTGTTGCCATATGGTGAGATAGTGCTGCGTGACAACCTTTCAGCAACTGAAGAATTCAACAGTGAAACAAACACGATAATTGTAAGTGTTCGGTGAAATCTTACACTTACCGCTTTGGCTTGTCTTTTTCCCCTTGATGCTAGGACAACCACTGCTTGCAGACAAGCCAGGCTGAAACAGGTGCTCAAGTACTGCATCGGGTATGTTAGAAATGTGCTGATGATTTTTAGTCGTATTTGTATGTGTAACTTCATTTTCAAGTGAGCTGTCAGGAGTTCACTTCGACTTCAAAAGTCTCGGGGGGCAGTTCTTGCACCAAGACTCGTAACTGGGCAACAGTGATTTATAGAAAAATGCAGTTTTAATATGGGCTTAGAGAAGGAATGAGAAATTTGAGAAGATCTGTGTTACACTGAACAAAAGAAAACAGTTCCAATTTAGACCTGGGTACTAAGAAAACCTGACTATTCAGGTGGAACTGAAGTGTAGGCTTTTCTGCAGCAAAGCTGTAAAGAACTTTTTTATGACAGCTTAAATGTGTAATATGCTTTTTGTTGAGTTCCTTTTGTGTCATTGGTGATTTACCTACCAGGTTGGCATCCCAGTTTTCCACACAGAAACCAAGTTAGGGGATATCACTTTTGGTTAACAACTGAAACAGTCCAATCAAACAAGTTTTGTTACCTTTTCTTTACTGCCCACCCCACAGTAAGTACTTGTTTTCAAGAGGTTTGCACCTATTGAATTGCCAGAGATCCTTTGGGTAGAATATATAACATCTGGATGGTGAAGTCTCCTAGTGCTATAGCGACTTCGCTGTTTGCCTGTAAGAGGTGATGTTTTCACATCCTTTTAATCTTTTTTTACTCTTACAATCCTTCTCTATAGCCTACCCCACCCCCTTCAAAATATTTTTGAACTGAAGTAGCCCTTCTCCCAGGAATTTCTTAGTACCATCTGAATCTTTGGAAGAAATCTTTGGCCTAGAAATAGGGAACTTATTTTTTGTAAGGTAAATCTTAAACTTCCCGATAGGTGTTACTGCTCATGGAAGTATCTTGATAAAATAATTCTTCATCTTCTCTTTCTTTCTTTCTCTTTCTCTCTCTCACACGTTTATTCCAATTATAATGATAGCTGATGGAGGAGTAATCTCAACTCTTCAGCATGGGTGTGGATCCTGGGTTATTAGCAGGGAGTTGAGACTAAGCTTTTAAGATGGACATGAGTACTTTGCAGCTC